AAGGGTGAAACAGGGCCCCCCCCCCCCCCCCAGGTGAATAAGACTCCAATCAACATAATCTATTGAACATAACCAGCATTGGGTCAGAGACCTCATGGAGGTAAAGTGTTGATAGCATTTGCATAATTGGAGCTAGCATGTGTTTATTAACCTGCCCAGAGAGAGGTGTTGAAACAACATTGTATGTGGCAGACAACAGATGTCTCACTACCCCCCACCCCCCCACGCACATGTCTCTAACACCTTTAATCAAGCTTCACTTCTCCGTTTTTACATAAATTGTCTTTTTCACACCTCTTTTAAACTAGTCCTCCTCCCTGTCTAGGTTGCATACTTGACTGTCTTCAAAAGAGTAACTTTTTTTCCTTTAGATGTAGGTACACTGCGGAATCCTGACCAGAGGGTTTGACTTTTCTATGTTGTGCCATATGCTGGTTTAACGGCTGTTTTGTTTCACCAACATACAATTCCTAGCACTCCTCAATGCACTGGTTTGCGTACACAATGCTGTTCATCATCATTGTTCATGTTGTGTTTAGGAGTTGGGTCTTTTGGGTGAACCAGTTGTTGCTGGGTTTAAAGCAGACAGGGATGTGATGTTTATTAAAAATCATTCTGAGTGAGGGGGTGTGGCCAGAAGTTGTGGTGGAAGGCTGCTAAGTGAGCTGTGACTAGCTTATGATCTGGGGGCACAGCTACTGCTTACTAGAACCCACTTTTAGCTAAATCTGCCCCGATTCACCTTCTAGCATTTAGTGATCATCATGGGGAAGTGTAAACATAAGGATGGACCACAGAAATTGTTGGATTATTTTTGGGCCGCTGGATCGGGCAGAAAACAAGACGGTGCTGGCTCCCTCAAATGCCAGCACTTTCCGCACCGATAACGATCGGTAAGGAAAGTTTGTTCACTTCACTTGACAACTTCCGAAATGACTTCAGATAAAGTGGCCCCTTCTATGAAGCCTAATCCAAAAGATCTGCTCTAATTCCTCCGGAAAAGGAGACTGCGGACCATTCGTAGGATTTGACAGATCCCATAAGTGATTTCCCAACATCAGACAAACCTATAATGGATACCACTCTAAAGCAAATGTTAATGTCCCTAAACACACTTCACAAAGATATGGCCTCCCAAAAAGGCAGTCATGCAGAAGCCCATAATGATATGGTGGACACCCACAAAGAAATGACAGAACTACACTGTTTGAAAATGAAAATAGCTGACTTAGAAGACAGGTCTTGCAAAAAAAAAATTACATTCAGTAGACTATCTGAATCAGTTTCGAGACCTTCGAGAATATATAAAAAATGTATAAACTCTCTACTACCTACCTCGTCGGAACTTGAGATCACTGTCGACAGAGCTCATCGCTTGCCAAAACCCTCATATCTGCCTGAAAGACTTCCTAGATATATCCTTTCACGTTCAAATCAAAGAAAAGCTGATGATGTTTAGTTGCATCACTTTCTCATACCGGAACCTAACTCCAACATCACATTATACAGTGACCTGTCTCAAGCTACTGTGATGGCTCGAACAGAACTCCATCCTATCACTAAAGTTCTAAGAAACCACAAAGTGGCTTACAAATGGGGCTTTCCTACCAAACTTGTGACCACCAGCAATGTGAAAACTCATGCCATTCCATCGATAGATTCTGGTCTCCAACTTCTTCGACAATGGATTCTCCTTCCCTCCGCCTGAATCTTCTCCAGATAGACTTTATATGACTTTAAATTTTTGTTTATTTACCCTTCATCAGACTATTTATACTCTTGAAATTGTTGCGATTTTAGTACTACTAATTTCAGCTCAAGTTACCCTGCCTGTTTTTTCCCCCCATATAATGTTTATTGAATTTTACAACAATACAAACAGGTATCAAATAACATCTGCATATATCAAAGTTCAAAAACAACATGTCACAAATAACACATACATAACCAACAAAGACAGTTAATAAAGGAACAACAAGCAGATATAGATGCTATGTATCAAGAAGACAAATAATGGAATGCAGTAGGTGGGGCAGTAGTGGAGATGGAAAGGATAAAGAAAATAAGATAAACTGTGAAATAGTGATAAAAGATAAAGCCGGAAAGAGTAAACTTTAAAAAAAAAATTAAGGGGGACAATTGGGTTGCATAGTGTAATAATTTAGTATATTGTAAGTCGGAGTTGATGGATTGGGACACACACACACATAGTAATGGAAAAGAATGTCAAAGAGGGAGTGGGACATTACCCGCTGCAGTGGGTTATGATGGAACTGTGTGCATGGACATCTAATGGGTACAAGATCATCTTTAACCAACAAGCTTCCACAAAACATCTAGTGTGCCTAGTGAGCTGTCAAAGTTTAGCAAAAATATACCAATTGGTGATGTTGAAGAGCATACATAATATCTTTGAGTAGTTCCAAGGACAATTTGGATGCAAGATAGTTGGATCAGGTATTGAAGAATTTACTGGTGCGAGACTGGTTAAATTTAGTATCCAGTTTATCAATAAGCATAAGATTAAAAAGAATGGCAGGTACTTCTGACAGGGATAGGATTAGTTAGAAAGGTTTTTTTGGTTGCCAGAAGACAAAAATGTTCCCAGGGAGAGAGGAGAGGTGGGTGTAAATTTGTACTGAGAGCAGTGTCAAGAAGGAGGCAGAGGGTATATTTCTATGGGTTAGATAATTCATGCAAGAGATTATCTGACGTCAAAACTTTTCAATTGAGGGGCAAGTCCAAATCAAATGGACTTGCGGTCCGGTCAGGATGTTTGAGGGAACATTGAGGACAGTGAGAAAGCCAGTCAGTAGGTGGAGAAATAGGGGTAAAATGAAATGCATAATAAACCCTGTGTATTAATTTAAATTGAAGTTATCTCCATGTTTCACACATATTTGTGTTATGTACATTCCGCCACCCTCAGGGTATCTATCATATGTTTCTTCCAAGGATTGTCCCAAAAATAAGGCCCATGGGTGAACAAAGTTTGGAAAGGGTGTACTGATGATTGGTTATGGTCACGAAGAAGGGGATATCTTGGTGGAGCAAGAAGCTAATATACAATCAAGGGTCTGCCAGGAGGATGGTGGAGATGAGGGGGGTAGGTGAGTTTTAGTAAAGCAGGAGATTTGTTTATATTGCTAAAGAGCCTGGAAAGTTCACTCAAGGTCATGCATGAGTAAGCAAATTCTGAATGGAGTGAATACCCTTGTGGATAAAAATCTTCAAAATTTGAAGTCATTTCCTTGAGGGTAAATCGGAGAGGACATTATAGGCATTCAAGGTGAAATTGTGCTGCGGAAATCTATGTTTCCTCACTTCCCGCCAAGTGATTAAGTAGCTTACAGGAGTGTGTTTTGTTTAAGACGAGGTGGAAGTAATTGGAAAGGAGTATAGAGAACACCCGCAAGAGACCAAGGAAGGACCAATTGAGTTTCTAAAGTGCTGTTAGAATAGAATGAGGTGTTGTAACCAATCCCTGATATGGCGAAAAATACTAGCCAGAATATATAGTCTAATGTTAGGTAAGTTAGCCCCTAAACTTGATTTGGGTTGTTGTAGTTTTTTAAAAGCAATCCTAGGTTTTTTCACTTTCCACATACATTTTGAGAAGGCTCTGTTTAGTAGTCATATGTCTTTATGTTTAAGGAGGAAAGTTATGGTTTGTAATGGATAAAGAAGCTGGGTAAAACTGAACATGCAGATCAGGTGACATCTACCTAGCAAAGATAAGGGGGACATGTTCTTCAAAGCTCTTTTTGAAAATAGAGCAATTAAGGGTATATAAGTCTGTCAAAGAACGTGGGGTATAACTTCCTAAATATGTAAGGGAATGGTGTTTGACTTGTAGTTTATAAGTAGGGGCCCAGGACATTGAATCAGTTCCACCTTTCTTTGAGACAAATAATAATTTGCTCTTATCAAAATTGATTTTGAGATCAAAAAAGGCGCCAAAAAATTGAATGTGATGGATGCATTTTGGAATCTGTTTTTTGGGTCTGATTTAATTAGTAGAATGTTGTCAGCAAACAGACTTGATATATGTGGCTCCAAGATGTAGATCTGTGAACAACTAGGGTGAAGAAAAAAAGAGGGAGAGTGGTTCTATGGCAATATTAAATAATAAAGGTGATAAGGGACAGCACTGGTGAGTGCCTTTCTAAAGGGAGGTGAAAGATATACTGATGTGTAAATTGGGTCTTGGGGGAGAAGTAGATGGTAGAGATAAATTGGAGAAACTTTCCTGAAATTCCCACATGATTGAGGCCAGTTT